AATAATAATAATAATTTGCTTTATTCCAAAACAGTACTTGTGATACAGAATGGAATTCTCAGCATTTTTACTACAGTATTGCATCCAGTTAGTACATTGTCAATAAATAGAATTCTACATAGATTGAGGAAACCACAGTTCATTATTACAACAATACATTGGCATGTTCAGTAGCAAAGGTAAAGCTGAAACAGTGTTTGAAGGTGTTAGAAAAGTGGGAGCTGTCCTTAGTTCAGATATCTTATTGATTATAGAACGTTCACTAGTTAGTAATACCGAGAACAAGTCGCGGGATATTACAAACTGGCTTAAAATGTCACCATTACCTAATTCTGTTTGTACATCAGCAGCGGAAATGTTTATGGACGAAAAATGAGTCGGACTACGTGTCTAAACAGTGTGAGAAAATTCTCTTTTTTCTTTCCTAGTACTCATCTTCACTGCTTTATTCAGTGCAGTATACACTGAACCCATCTTATTCTTCTCTTATCCATCGTTGCATTGAGTCATCTTCTCTTTCACCAACCTCCTCTCCTCTTCTCTTTAGGCTTCCACGGATCCCTTGAGAGGTCGTACTTGTCTTATTTCTTCTTTCTTCCCAGAACAGTTGAACGCCACCTTCAGAGAGTTTCAATGTTCTTCGGCACAGGTTTCCTCAGTGCTACCGCGTAGTGACACCAACTCTGCTCTGATATGATCATTAGTGAAGGCACCCTTGAAGCATTGTCTTTCAGTTTCTGAAAGTTGAGCTTGAATTACGGTGGCGTGCCCCCAGATATTTTCAGAGATTCCACGTTCACCACGAAGATTCCTTAAAATAGATGATGGCCTGAGCATACATTGTTCCTCTTCACGATTTTTTGTCTTAAGAGGCTAACTGTATTGACGTTCGTGGATTGTATGGAGTATACTAACGCAAGATCTAATACCAACAACTTCTATAGTATTCGTTCCGCGTAGACCAAAGGCAAAGCAAAAGACACGATTGATCGTCCAAATTACGAGATATACTTCGGGACCAAATCGTAGAGCGAGATGACTGCTTAACTGGGTAGTGATCGTGCACAAACGTGGCACGACGGAGTATCAAATGGCAAGGATGCTTGACCGGAAGCCTTCAGCTAAACAAGTCGACTTAAACAGTGAGGGTCAGCATCCAATGTTGAGTGATGATTGCTGTGGTCAATAATTTTGGGGAATTATTTACCGCTACTTGTCCATCAGGCTGCGTCTCCACCTCCTCTAGCAACATTGCGATGAAATCTATCTGGTTTGTGGTATGTCCGTCGTGGAAAATTCATTTTGCTTTTTGCGCTTGTACAGGCTGTCTCCAAGCCATAGGAATCTCAAATGTCTGCGAATAATCCTCCGTGAGCCTCTCGACCCATGATGAGTTCTCTTTTTGAGTGTTCAGAAATGACGAACACGACTTTGAAGCTGGCCATTCTCCTCTATGCCTTTCCATCAGGTAGCATCTACTCGTAGAGTCTATCGGAAGAGTTCAATAGGTAAGAAGGTACTTCATCATTGCATAGTAGTCGTTCTTCAGCCGTGTCGTAAAATCTTGGAAACAATCCTCAGAAGAAGTCTCTACGCTCCTAATCGATTCGTTCAAGAACGAATTAGATAAGTTCAAATACCTACTGGAATAATATAGCATGGATTTCAAGCCTTTTTACCTCAAACAAAAATTTGAAAAATATGTATTTCTAGTGCTTTAACCGAATTATTATTATTTCCTTTAGTTCCTAGAGGAACATAGGGCTTCAGCCATGCGTCTCCATTGCGTTCGGTTCTCTGCTAGAGTTTTCACCTGGCTCCATGTCTGCCCATACGCTTTCAATTCTTCTTCACATGATCTCCTCCAGGTCACCCTTGCACTGACGACCAACTCGTCGCTTCCCTTTCGGGTTCCACTCGAGCAATGGCTTGTCTAGTGATGTCACTTGCTGGTTTCCTCAGAGTCTGGCCAGCCAATCCATCTCCATTTCTTCCTGAATATTTGTTTCACAATCGGTTCCTGGTTGGTTCGCTCCCAGAGATCTTTGTTGCTGATCCTTTCCGGCCATCTGATCTTGAGTATTGAGCGAAGACATCTGTTAATGAAGGCCTGTAGCTTGTTTGAGCTGCTCTTTGTGACACGCCAAGTCTCTGATCCGTATAGTAGTACTGACTTCACATTGGAGTTGAAAATCCCGATCTTATTTTTGACGCTGAATGCTGTTGACCTCCACACAGACTTGAAAGTAATGAAAGCTTGCCTTGCTTTCCCCATCCTTGCTTTGATATCCTCGTCAGTTCCGCCCGTAGTTGAAACAATGCTTCCCAAGTAGGTAAAGGAGGTAGTTTCTTTCAGGTTCCTTCCATTTATGCTGATTGCTGTCTGTTGTTGTTGCTGTGGCTGTTGGTGTTGGCCAGGAATCTCCATCACCTCCGTTTTCTCTATGTTCACCTGAAGTCCTTCCTATCCGTGATGCTTCTTCTGCCAACTTGTTACTTTTCACTTGCATATCTTCCAGTTTGTGGGAAATCAGACATATATCGTCGGCGAAGTCCAGATCTTCCAAGTTCTTTGTGTGAGTCCATTTTATGCCTGTTTCCTCATTGCCCGCTGTCTGTCGCATTATCCAGTCTACTGCAATCAGGAAAATCATTGGCGATAGTAGGCAACCCTGTCTTACTCCTGTCTTCACTTCGAAGAATTCCGTGAGCTTCACGTTGTGGATTACTTGGCATGCAGCGTTGTCATACAACTGTTGGATGAGATGTATAATTGTCGGCGGCACCACGTAGTAGCGAAGTAGTTGCAAATCACCTCTCGATCGACGATATCGAAGGCCTTTTCAAAGTCGATGAATTTGAGATAGAGAGGTGACTGCCATTCCAAACTTTGTTCAATGATGATCCGTAGTGTGGCGATTTGATCGATACACGACTTCTTTCTCCTGAATCCAGCCTGTTGCGGTCGAAGTTTTACATCCAGGGCTTGTTTGATCCTTTCCAGGATGATGCGGCTTAGTATTTTGCTTGGGATGGAAAGGAGCATAATTCCGCGCCAGTTCTTGCATTGACTTAAGTCTCCTTTCTTTGGTAGTTTGAATAGGTAGCCTTTCTTCTAATCCTCGGGTACTTTGCCTTCTTTCCACACCTTCTCCAGTAGTGGCGTCATCAAGTCCGCTGTTGTCTCTGGGTCCACTTTCAATGCCTCTGCTGGGATTCCATCTGATCCTGCTGCTTTTCCAGCTTTCAGCATCTTGATTGCCTTCAGGACTTCTGTTCTCCTCGGGGGGTTGATGTTCACTGGTAATTCTGCTTCCATTGTTGGTATTGTTGGGCGCGTTGTAGGTGGCGGTCGGTTTAGTAGTCTTTTGAAGTGTTCAGCCCAGTGTTTCCTTTGCTCCACTTCTTTGGTGATTGACTTTCCATTGTCATCCTTCACTGGTTTAATTTGTGACGAATTTTTGCCTGAGAGGTACCTAGTTGTTTGGTAGAGTGTTGCGAGGTCTCCTTTGCCTGCTGCTTGTTCTGCTTCATTGGCCATGGCTTCATAATACTTTCTTTTGTCTTCTCTGGCACTCTTCTTTACTCCTTTGTTCAGTGTATTGTAGCTTGCATTCAACTCCTGTTTCTGTTGCTCGTCGGTGCACTGGATAATCTTTTGTTTCACCATCCTTCTCTCTTCTATTAGCCTCCAAGTGTCCGTAGTGAGCCACGGTTTGTCCTGTCTCTTCTTTCTGCCCAGAACTTCCATGCAGGTTTCGCTCTATACCGCTTTCAGGTTGTCCCAGTGTTTTTCGACGCTGAACTCTTCGCTAATGTTGATTTGTGTCTCAGCTTTGTCCTTTATGCTTGCAGTAAAGATATCCTTTGTATCCTGGTCCTTTAGTTTTTGAGTGTTGAACTTGGCTTGTGGTCTATCTGCAGCTCCTGTTTCTCTGAAAGCTTTTAATTTGAGTTGGATTGTTCCTTGTACGAGGTAGTGGTCTGAGCCAACGTCTGCTCCTCTTTTTGCTTTTGTGTCCAGTAGGCTGCGCCTCCACTTCCTCGAGATTGTGATGAAGTCAATTTGCTTTTTGGTTCGCCCATCTGGTGACACCCATGTAGCCTTGTGGATATCCTTGTGTTTGTATACGCTGCCACCAATCACTAGTTCATTGAAGGCGCAGAAGTCGGCGAAGAGTTCTCCATTTTCATTCATTTCTCCCAGAGCTACTTTACCCATGATGAGTTCCTTCCTGTGTTGTCTGGTCCAAGTTTGGCGTTCATGTCTCCCATTAGTATTTTAATGTCACCAGCTGGAGTATTGTCCATTGTTGCCTGTAGTTGTCTGTAGAATTCTTCTTTCTTTTCGAGGTCTGCGTTGTTGGTCGGTGCATAGCATTGTATAATTGACACTTTCCTTCCTTTGGAGTTGAATCTGGCGGTTATTATCCTGGGCGAGATCGCCTCCCATTGCACCAGGGCCTTCGTTGACGTTGGTGACATCATGATAGCCACGCCCTCGGTGTGTGTGTGGTTGTCTTCTGGGTGACTGGAGTAAATCACTGACTCACCTGTTGACAATGTGGTGAGTCCGTTTCCGTTCCATCTGCTTTCGCAGATCCCAATACTTGTATTCCGTATCTCCTCATTTCGCTTGCGATCTGGGCAGCTTTGCTAGTCTCGTACATGGTGCGGACATTCCATGTCCCCGCACAGACTTTTTCTTTTGATGCAAGGAGATTGTTCACGCTGAAGTTTCTGTAGCATATTTGTTTACAGGGTGGGGTTGCTGGCCTCACGCCTTTAACCGAATTATGCTCATTTAAATTACAGTAGCCTCACAAGCCTAAATGGAATATCTTACGAAGTCCTGAACTTCAAAATCTCCATCCAATTCAAAACATGCAAGGTCTCTTCTGTATCAATTTTGGTACCAAACATTTAATAGCAATGTCAGACATGGGATTGGATATTGAACAACCGAGGAAGTGATAACCCGGAATATTTAACTACTGTCAATGGAGGCGCTGATAGGTTGGCCATGTTTTGTAATTTTTTGTCCTTTCTGCGGTATTTTACATGATTCTAAGGAAATTCGTTAAAATAAGGTTGTTTTGAGTTTAGTATACTTCAAAAAGTAGTCAGTATTTTAAGTGGAATCACCTTAAAATAGTGGATTGAATGTTTTGCGTCATACATGATAGTATTTCTTATTCTCCGCATGGAAAAAATCTAACCCACGCAATGTTAGAGCACCATATTTGTCAATTATGATGAAGAATTCGAGTTTAAAATTTAATTGCTCAGTGGCCGTAGCTAGAACTGCTACTGACCCTCGTCTTGCAGATTTCCACCTGAATTGTAAACACATTTTAAAAACTTTTGTGAGTTGTTGACTGAAAGTTTACAATATCTTAGCGCGACTTCTTTTGAAGGCATGACAGTATTCAAAAGAGGACCTTAAAAAGGCGACAAAAGACGTCAACGTGCCACCCAGTCGGTGAATTTCGGACCTGGGATCTGTGAGTAAAAACGTGGGCAGTTTTCCGTTCGAAATTGGACAAAGTGGGCTGTTTTCGGTTGTAACATAGGTAAAGTGGGAAAAGGTGGGTTAAGTGTTCGTTAAGAAACTGGGCAAACGGGGAGAAGGTGGCCAATATCGGTAAAGTTGATTAATTATGTAGCATTTTAACCCCCTTTTGCTCACGTCTTTGCCGATCAAAACTACCCGTTTTGCCCACATTGCCCAGGTGCATTCTCTAACTCGGTCAACAACCGGCTTTTAAAAATAACTTTGTTTATCCGCAGCTTCGTTCGAATTCTTTGTTCCTGGAAAACAGCCTATAAGATACAGAGCATTCGAAGTCGCGGAAGTAAGACGTACTACCTCTACGGTGGTGATCCCTCGGGATATACAAGAAGCTTTGTTATCCATGTTTCAAATAGTATTCATGCGAATAGGTCGTAATTCCACTATGGATAAGATTTTATTTTGATAAATCACACAGTGGAGCGTTATGCAGTAATATTATCTGATGACGTTTCGAGCACAAATTATTGCTCATAATCATATCAAGTCACTCACACAAAGTTGTGTGAGATTCAGTTTAAACAGTGTGATGATGTGCTTGAATATGTAATTCTGAGGGACTGTAATAGTAGTGCAGCCGTCTCCTTGATACTCGCTCATATCACTTTCCGTTCTTATTATCTTCTACATACCCCCCCCCCTCCTTTCGTATTTTATGCATGGACCTGTTATTCTGCCTTGTTTTAACTACATACTTCCTTTTCTTTCGCTGAAGTGTACAAATTCTCCAGAGACCTATATGATCATGTCGAAATCATATACGCCTTGCAAAAAGCATTTGACACATACGTACACCTCCACCAAAGGAATTCAGGACAAATATACGCCAGTTATTACCCGTCAGAATTTTCGGGCTTGTCTAGAGATATCCTTTGGAGACTGGTCAATGTAACAATCTCCGTAAAAGATAGGATATTATTAGCTTTCAACAGCTAACTGCTGAAACTCGACAAGTGCATAGTTGCAAAATGACTAATATCAAGTCAGGACCTAAGTGTAAAGTGCCTACCTGAAGCTCCGAAGGTAGTCTTATCTGAAACGGAATGAAGCAGTGGAATCTACTGGGTTTACTTTACAATTGGTGGGAAATTACTATTGTGATTAAGATGGTATTTTGTAAGGGATTTCGTTATGGTGGCAACTGATAGTAATTCCACGATTCCGAAATAGGACAGCTATTCCTGTTGTAAATACAGAAAACCAGCCTGGCCGATCTAGCGTTAAACGTTAAGTGAAGGAAGTTTTCATTCCCCTATTGGTCCTGGAGTATAGTCATATGAGCGCCCTATGCTTACCATACTTTTTGACCTGAAGAATACAACCAACTCTATCAATTGTAAGGCGTTGTAGCAGTTACTGACTGCAAATGATGTACCAAGCAAGCATGTTACACCTAGCAATGTATTCCATTCATGTTTTATTGACTTCAATTTAAAGTAGAGGTAGGGTGAAATAATGTAGCTCATTGGCTGAAGAGTGTGATTTTCTGTCGATAAGTCACGGGATCGAATTATGCTCCACTTTCTTCAGCCTGGAGTAGTGCCATCAGCCCGCACACCACAGGTGTAGCTTGCAATTTGTCACATGAAAAATCTTTTCTAAGAAACTTAACTTCATCAGTTTCAATAAGCTGACTGCTAAAGTGGTCTTTGAATATATGCCAAAGGTACACTTTCTATTTGCCTAGTTGCTCCATCTTTGTCTCCAGCTAGACACCCAGCTGCTCACTGCAGGACATAGTACAGTGCAGAATTTCATTCTGTTCTACTTTAAAGCCGAATACGTAACCAAGGTAGAAGACATGAGAAAATCATGTTTTCGATCTTAGGAGTTCTTGATTAGTTGTAGTTTGCGCTAACTGTCTTAGTTCGTGGCGTAGGACACCTGTTAGTTTTGCGCTTGCTATCCAAAGGGTATGTTGAAACTCTCATTGTCATTGTGCAAACTGCAAATTTGATTCTACAAACTGCCAGTTCACCCCAGCAGCTAATCAGGATTCGGGTAGCTGAAACTCATTTGGGTCTTAGGCTAAGTGGACGTTACCTCTGATGACCTCGGCTACGAACAAACAAAACAGCCGTCAGGGGTTTCGATCTGGCTACTACTCACTACTTGTTCACGTGAGTAGTTCCCAATTTACCATATCAACCAGCAGTATATTGCATCATGCAGCTGTGCTTGCTCTCTTGATTATCATATATGGTATCAAGCGGATTGCATATTGTAGTCTGAATTGTATCGGCTTTCAAGAGAAACAGCGGTGAGCTTTCATTGAGAACTGTTTTGTTTGGTTCACAGTAACTTGTCTTACTATTCTGATGTATTTTTCTTCATGAGTCACACTTTACAAAACAAAGAACTTCATGTGTAATAGATTCTCCCTATTTAAAGGTCAACCAGAATAGATTTTAACACAGTTTACTATGTAAACCTTTGAATATTACGCAATTGTTTGGGTAGTTATACATTGGTGGGTTTAAATTTTTGGATCGTGTCGTAGTGGTATGATAGCAGTTGTTTTCTTAACAAAGGCATGCACTCTCTTGTCCATCTAGCTGTGTTCCGCATTCTTCCGATTCCCTTCATCTGGGAGTAAGTAAAATTTGTTAAAGAACTCAATGGACTAATCAGTAATATTGTATGGAGGATTTCATCATGAGCTGACATCAGTTAGAGAACCACTGGAAAACCTGGGAGTACTGGACAGCTGTTTCGTCCTAGTTTGGGACTCTTCATCAGTACGCACCCACCGGGATTCGAACCCAGGACCTTCTGGTTACAAGGCGAGCTCGTAGACCATTGAGCCACTGGGACCCGATCCAATGGTCCTTGAATTCTAACTTCTGCCAATTCACGACATAGCGCGACCATTTCGCAATGTCTTCTTAGATGAGTTACTGTCACATCTTCAACCTGCTGTACCCTACTGGTCACGGCTTCCCACTAGAACCCCAGACAGCTGCCTGAATAGGACCAGTCACTGGTGATTATCAGATCAATTTTCAAGTATTGGTTTTGTAACTAACTAATGTCAGCTCATGATGAAATCCTATAACCAATCAACCAAATCCCTACAAACCAATACTTGAATATCAATGAGATGCTCACTGGCGGCTGGCCCTATTCTGGTAGGTAGTTACCTGGGGTTCCAGTGGGAAGCCGTGACCAGTAGGGTACAGCAGGTTGAAGATGTGACAGTAACTCATCTAAGAAGACATTGCGAAATGGTCGCGCTATGTCGTGAATTGGCAGAAGTTAGAATTCAAGGACCATTGGATCGGGTCCCAGTGGCTCAATGGTCTACGAGCTCGCCTTGTAACCAGAAGGTCCTGGGTTCGAATCCCGGTGGGTGCGTACTGATGAAGAGTCCCAAACTAGGACGAAACAGCTGTCCAGTACTCCCAGGTTTTCCAGTGGTTCTCTAACTGATGTCAGCTCATGATGAAATCCTCCATACAATCAAACAAAATCCCTACCAAACCAATACTTGAAAATTAATCAGTAATAATTAAAACATTATGTTCCAAAGATAAATGGAGGTTTTTTTTTAATTAACTAAGCGTTTTCCATTCTCAAGAGACCTTGTTAGCTATTTTTTACTTTTATGCGCACTAATTACTGTATTTTGTGTGCAGCTGGAAAATAATAATGTGTACTTAACTTCATGTTAAGTAAAGAGTAGTTCAAGCGAATTAGTACTAGTAAATTTAACTACTGTGAATTGTTGATACTAGATGGTTGGAGGTAGTCGTCAGGATGCTCCACGCCTACGTTTCGTGCTTGTTAGCGCTCGTCAGCAAGGTGTATCTTCAACCTTGAAGGAACACATGTCCCTTGTGAGATTCGAACCTGTGTCACCACGTTACCACTGAGCTAGCTATTAGGGCTCGCAATTGACCTCCTGTGGGACTATATAATACAGTCCTACGAGTACTAACAGGCACAACACTTAGGTTCAGGGCTTCCTGTCGATTGCTTCTAACCACCTAATAACAAAAATTTATAGTGCATCATGATGGCAAGCCACTTAGCATGTTGACCACACACTGATAGAGTTCAGCCAACACCAAACAAAGAACTAGACACATTACATTAGTTACTAGCTAGTTTCCAATCAAAATTTAACTACATTTAGTTGCGTTTTGGCTGTAAGACTCTATCTGAGAATACCCCAGCGAAGTTAATTATTCATTTAGGAAACTAGTAAAGCTATCAGCTGCCTAAAAGTCTGACGATTCTGGGAGCGAATCGGTGGATGATAAAATGAAGTGTGCAATGCACAGCAGTGTACTTTCTCCTTTACGACTGTGTGACAGTCATAGAAACGGTGAGACTTTAGCGTACTAGCTGTTAGGTGACGGATGTTTGTTTACTATCTCCTCTAATAAATTGTATAATATGGTGACTAATACCGACCTAAGGATGTGGAGTGTTAGGTAAGAAC